GGGGAATCGGCCACGTCCGTGTTTTTATTTATTTATTTGGGTGCAAACAATAAATGTGATTTTAAAAAAAAGAAAATAAAATTATGACAAAACCCAAGAATCCTTCTACTTTTTAAAATTTAGTTGAATTATTTCCAATGTTCTCCTAACCTCGCAGTAACTTGACAACACTCCTGAGGGGAACAATCAACCATAGGGAAAATCCATGAATGAATTCATTTTTGATCCCATTTTTATCACATTGTAAAATAATACATTTCTCTCAGTAATGTGTTTCTTTTTATCTCTATCCCTATACTTTAGATTTTTATGTTAGCTCTTTATGTGATGCTCTTCTTTTATGTTTGAGAGCCTCTAAAAATGTACCGGAGTCAATATTTCAGTCATGCCTCTCGCTCTCGTCTCATCAGATGAAATCATTTTAGTTGGGATGGAAAGAGCAAAAACACTCTTGCACGTTGCACGAGGAACATTTAGTATAAAAAGTATTGGCTTGGTGTGTATGCAGACGGCTCAGACCAGCTTACTCCTGTTAGCACCCCTTAAAGCAGAACGTTGTTAGCGGGTGCACCGTGATACTGCAGCTCGAAATGTGGAGCTTTTTTTTTTTTTTTTTTTTTTAATAAAACACTTACGTAGTTAAATTTTTAAAAGTCTTTTAAATGTGATATTTATATTTCAGGCCGAGATGGCTCTATAGCAGGAGGGCTTTTCAACTGGCGGCCCACGAGCCTGACTTCAATCTGGCTGACTTCATTAAAAAAATAAAATAAAAATTATTTTTGGTTCTGGGTTTGGGTTTTAAGTTCTGTTTATTGCAGTTATGATTCAATGCAATAAAATAAACAAATTTAAAAGGTAACAGATCATTGTAAACTTTGGTTTATTTACATAATGATTTTAATCGCTGGATGTCCGGCCCCCGAGCTGTTGGCTTTCAGAAACTGTGGCCCCCTGAGCAATTTAGTTGAATAGCTCTGCTCTAAAGTATTGACTAGTTTTTGTATTTAATAAAAAATAAAAATAAATAAATAAATATATATATATATATATATAGTATTTTTAATCAGTTAATTAAATAAGGAACATGAACCATCATAAAGTTAGAACGGGTCAATACTTTAAAAAATACAGTCAAGTCAGTATCTGCTTTATTAACACAAAATCTGTTTGTGTTTCTTCTACATGTTTATTATTCGTGCTACAAGTTAATCCAAAATTTGTACTTTTCAGATTTGATCAGATTTTTCTCACGTTGTTCTGTCTTCCTTCTCGTAGATGGAGGGAAAAAAAAGAGAATAAAAGATTAAGTTTGGTTCGGCTGCAGTCTGTAAAACGTGTAAACACTGCACCTTTATTCAAACTGTGTGATTTTATTTAGGCCTAAAATATTAACTGAGACGATTTATTGCTTATATTTATTTTACTTTTGTCCTGTTCTTTTTTTTAATTTTTTTATTTCATATTTAAAGAAAGGACTCGAAGATTTGACCGTAGGTGAGAAATGATTTCAAAATCAGAATGAAAGTCTCAGACAGTCTTTCAGAAAAGCTTCATAATCATTTTGTTTCTCGACTTGTCTCTAAGGAATGACAGAATTACATAATGGACCACCTTTATCGCCACAGATGAAGGTTTTATCGTCCAGAGGACTGCTCTGGCCTTTACTCCGGGTCATTGTGACTAAACGACTGACAGTGATGAAACCTCACTTACATTTGTCATTTTCTGCCGCAACATTTTCTCTCTGTTATAAAATAAGAATTAAAGAAAACTAGAGAAATTGCATTTATTTCGAAAATGCAGTGTGAATGCTTATTGCTAAAGACCTTGCTGAAAAAACAGCTGAAATTAGCTAAAAACATGCTGAAATGTAGCTGAAAATGCAGAAAGAAGCTTGAACTACCAGAAGGAAGTGGAAGAATCTGGAATGAGCTAAAAAAAATTGGAATTAGCTGAAAAAGCTAAATTTAGTACAAAAACAGCTAAATAGTAGCTGAAATAGCAGAAAATGCTGAAACTTGCAGAAATAAGCTGAAAGGAGCATAAAAAGCTGAAATTAGCAAAAAAGAATTTAGAAGCACAAACATGTTGTAGTTAGCAGAAAGAATCAGAAACAAGCACAAAACAGCTGAAAAAACTGCTGAAATAAGCTGAACCAGAACAAAATATGAAAGGAGCAGTAAAATGTTGTAAATAGATCTAAAGATTTGAAGGATGTAAAATGAGCTCAATTCGTTTTCTATGAGGGGAAAAAGTGGCAGAAAAGGCTAAATATTTCAAAAAGCTGAAGTTGCACCAATACCAAAAGTCAGAGCAGGATTGTCCTGAAAGAGCTGAACGTTTTGATAAATGATTTGTTGAAATGACACAAAAATTGTGGAACGAGGAAGATGCTGAAAAACGTCCAGAAGAAAAATGGATCACAGTAGTGTGAATAAGCTTCACACTATTACAAATTTAATAATTCATACACTCCTCCACACTCGGGTGTAGGAGTTTGATTATCTGGGCGTCTTGTTACTGAGTGATGGTAGGAAGGAGCAGGAGATGGAGCCTCATCTTCAGTAGTGAGGGCGTTGCTTCGGTTGGTTGTGGTGAAGAAAGAGTTGAGTTGAAAGGAGGTCTCGTGGGAGGAGCTCAGAGAAGAGCCACTGCTTCTCATTGAAAGGAGTCAGTTGAGGTGGTTCGTCTGATTTGGACGCCTCCCTTTGGAGGAGTTCTGGCCACGTCACTCGAGGAGGAGGCCCCAAAGGATCTCCTTTTTTACTCGACTCCTCCACCTGATGCAAAGATCCCGCCCCCTTCCCTGGAGAGGGCTGGTTAACTTTTCAAACTAAAGTTCCTGAATTTTCTGAGCTCATTCCGAGATAAAACCTGAGATTAGGACAGTTAAAAAAAATTAAAATAAAAGGATTTTGACTTTTAAATAAATCATCAAAACATTTGGAGTTCATGGAAGATTCCTGTTTTTGAAATGCAGCTTTTGTTTTTCCACTTTTACAATCTTTCAGTATTTAGGATTTACTTTTAATCCAAGCAGCCGTCCCATTTTCCTGCAGCTGAAACTGACAAAGTTAAAAGAAACTGCTGTTATTTGATGTTCAGAGTTTTTAAACCTTCTTTTCTTAAGAACCTGTGAAGAACCGGCCATAGTCCTGGTCCTGAATGAGCTCTGGGTCCAATTTAGGTCCTTATGGAAACGTTTGGTCATCACAAAGACATTGTTTTATCTTCTGGATGTTCTTTTTGTCATTTATCTCAAGAACATCACTGCTGAGCCAAATCAATATGTGTTTTTTTTCTTTTTGTAAAGTTGTGGTTAGTCTCCGGTAATACTTACTGGTAATTAACTGTTTAGGATAAAACTGAATGATTCCTGTTGAGACTGATTGGACCACGCTGACTAGATTAATTTAGTCCCTCTTATTTTTGTAAAATGTATATTTTGTTTTGGTTAGCACCCTCAACAATCCAGCGGACCAGATGGATGTGATTGGAGTTGGAGGCATTGACTTTGAGGACAACATTGCTCGATTTTCCTCCAGAGGCATGACCACCTGGGTGAGACGTGAACTTTGATCTGCACGCTTCAAAACCATAAACAACTAAAATGGTGATCAAGAATGAAATCAGGTTCTGACGTTCTCTTCTGTTTATTTGTCCAGGAGCTGCCGGGGGGCTACGGCAGAGTGAAGCCCGATATTGTCACCTACGGTTCCGGCGTTCGAGGCTCAGGATTGAAGGAGGGGTGTCGTTCTTTGTCTGGGACCAGTGTGGCTTCACCTGTGGTCGCTGGTGCAGTCACCCTTCTGGCCAGGTCTGCTTATCCTTTACTGCAATAAACAATGATTCAGTTTTATTTTTACTCATGTGTTTGTTGCTTTAGAGTAACTCACCGAGTCTGACCATCATGGAGTTTAAATTTCACTGCAGCTTTACAAGTTCTGTCTGAAACACCTACCTCAGGTCAACTTGGTCCACGTTAAGGAGCTGGGACTTCTATTATCTCTCATTTCAAATGCACATTCCCTCGCCTCACCGCTGTGCTCTTTATGATTTAGTTGGTTGGGCGTCACAAACGACTCGCAGACAACAACACTGATGTTTAATTTATTCAGCACTACTGGGTAAACGTCCATAATACTTCAGTACTCTCTAGTAGTTACCAGTTGCACACCTTCAAGTAAATTACAAACGTTTTTATTTAAGAATGTAGTGAGAGAGGAATGCCATTGTTTTTCTTGAGATGCTGCTGCTGCTTTCAGCTTTTCTGTCTTCAGGGGTCACCACAGAGAGTCGTCCTCCTCCATCTCACTCTGTCCTCACTCCAACTACCTCCATGTCCTCTCTAACTGCATCCATGTATCTCCTCTTTGTCTTTTTCCTGGCAGCTGCATTTGCAATACCCTTCTACCAGTGTACCCACTGTCCCTCCTCTGGACATGTCCAAACCATCTCAGTCTGGCCTCTCTAACTTTATCTCCCAGTTGTTCAACCTGTGTTGTACCTCTGATGAGCTCATTCCTAATCTTCTCCATCCTTGTCACTCCTAAAGAGAACCTCAACATCTTCATTTCTGCTACTTCCAGTTCTGTCTCCTGTCTTGTTGTCCATGTCTTTGTCTCCAGACCATACAACATAGCTGGTTTCACCACTGTCTTGTAAACTTTTACTTTGACTTTTTCGGACACCCTTTTGTTACAAATCACTCCTGAAACTTTTCTTCATCCTGCCTGGACTCTCTTCTTCACCTCTCCCACGGCTGCCTGACTGTTTTTTATTAAGGGCTTTATCTCGGCCAGTTTTATGAATATGGAGCTAAAATTTGGTGTGGTAGAAGCTGAGAGTCATTCACACCACACACTTGAAGCATTACATGAGCTCGCTCATCGTGTTGCTTTCAGTGTTCAAAAAAGCAATAAGTGTCATTTATCAACATAATGTGATCTATGCAGGTGATTCCTACTTTAATTAACTGGTTTTATTCCATCCCAACCTGCTGAGAGCTCTCTGGTTGCAGAGCTGTAACTGACCTGATTTGTCAGTTCACTTTGCCGGTAAAAACATCTCACCGCCTTTGTTGCCAGCAGGCTTCCTGCTCTGATCAGTCTCGGCACTACACAAACCCTCTTTTCTCGTCTTTCCTCCACTCCTGTTCTGAGTTCCATCCTGAAGAACTTGGCACCAGCAGCAGAACCATGAACAGACCTTAACTCGGGCTGTCCTGTTTTGTCCCGCAGCACCGTCCTGAACCGGGAGCTGGTGAACCCCGCCTCCATGAAGCAGGCTCTGATCGCCTCGGCCCGCAGGCTGCCCGGGGTCAACATGTTCGAGCAGGGCCACGGGAAACTAGACCTGATCCGAGCCTATCAGATCCTCAACAGCTACAGACCTCAGGCCAGGTGAGGGAATCCCGTTTTATCCTCGCTGCAGTTAGCAGTGAAACGGTTTGCTCTGTCACGAAGAGAAACAGAAAAGTTAGTTTTATGAGTGCGTTTAGCTTCAGAAGAGACAGAATTTTATTTAAATCAAAGTCGAACCAAAACAGAAATGAACTGTGATCTGAAGCATTTGTTTTAATTTGTTCCCTGAAGGTCTGAGCTCGTGTTCAGACCAGGTGTTAACATTTATTACTGACGATCCAGTCAAAAGTGGACAGTTATCAATCCACAATTAAAATTTCTGATATATTCTGGCTATTTTAAAGTGGGTTCTGTGGAAAAATATGAAGAATTATTATCTTACCTGTTGTACATAACTTTTTGAACGACCTCAGTTTGAATAATTTTGACATAATTGATGTGCTAACAGCTAATCCAAATACAGTTTGGAATTTCTGCTATAATAAAACAACTCCAATTTGAAACATCCGGATGCATGCTCAATAATCCAGGTAGAAAAATCTAAAAAAGTTAAGTCTGGTCCTCTGGACATTCAAAAATGAATGTCCAGAGGACCAGACTTAACTTTTTTAGTTCCAATCTTAAACATTGCATAACCATTTACACTGCCATCAGTTTTACATTATATGTTTTTTATTTCATAAAGATCAGTGGTTATTTTCAAACGCAACCAGCAGCAACAGTTAGCTGTAGCACTTTTAGTTCAGTGCCCAAACTTTCTCCCTGAGAAGGCCAAATTTAAAATCTATCAGAGGGCTGCGGGTCAAATGCAAACATATAATTCATGAAATGCAAATTCATCATTAAGTAAAGTCCATTTATTTGTTATACAGTTATTTAACCTTTGATTCTGAATAAAGAACATTACAGAACACAAAATATAACGAATAAGTCATATATAAGCAATTAAAACAAATGTCGAAATTTTGGCATTTCAGTATGTATATGTAGTGCAAAATGTCAAAAAAATGCATGTCCAACAGCAACACAACTTAACAGCAACAATAACTTGAACATAAATAAACAGATATACGGTAGTCACTGGGCCAACTTTTCCATCTACCATGAAAGTCAATGGGTGGAATGACTGTGTGAAAACACATTGATTCTTCAAAGAAAATTTTAATATAGTAACGAGGACAGCTTGGCAGGCCACCTCAAACGGCTTGGCAGGCCAACTTTGGCCCACGAGCCCCACTTTGGGCACCCCTGATGTAGAAGCAAACCAACAACATCCTCGTTCCAAAGGAACATTCATGAAGTCAGCTGTTTGGATGGAACTGTGATCATCCTGACACAGCATGCAGTGGAGACCTCCATCAAGGTTGCCAGATAAACATAAATGTTTCATTATTATTATTATTATTATTTGCATTTGCATTTGCATTTGAATGATCTGTTTGTTTAAACTTTATTTCTTTAAACTGAGTTCATTAAAGAAGTGACAGGAAATTATTTTTCACTGTTTCCGCAGGAATCCACTTTAAAAAGTGTGAGAATATCTCTTTAAAATAAGTCTCCATGCATCTCAAGTGAACGTTTGTGATCTGATCGAACTTTAAGGATCTACATTAAAATGGTAAAAACATTAAAAGTTGGGGTGCACCGATAAATCGGCCCCGATTTCCTTAATTTCAGGAAATTGGAGATCGGCCAATACTTACATGAGAATTCAGTTTTACCAAATTTTTTTGTAGTTTTAACAACAATTGTCTAAACTTTATTTATATTTCAAAGCACAACCTCATGGCCAGTTAAAACAAGTTTGTATTGTTTCTAGGATATTGTTCAAGGGTATGTTTTTCAATAAAATAAGATTGGAAAATTGAAGGTGCATTGTGACCTTATAACACTTGACAGTGTCGCTTATACAACAAAAATGGTGTCGGCCAGAATCGGCAGGTCAGACTTTTTAGAAATCAGTGATTGGTGATCGTCCAGAAAACTGCAGTCGGTGCACCCATAAGTAAAACAACTTTATGAACAGATCAAATCCGCTTTTAAAACAACCAGAGAGAAACGGCAACAAATTACAGTTTACACGTTGTCAGTTATTCGCCATATTTAAGCAAACATTGTATAATCATGCCGTAATTTAATGTATACATTTTATTTACACAGTGGGTGTTAGTTTTCTTTGGCTCCGTTCTTAAGAGTGGCAGCTTTAAAGATATGGAGAGGAGCTCGGAGTAGAGCCTCTGCTCCTCTTCATCGAAAAGAGTCAGCTGAGGTGGTTCTCCTGATTAAGACGCCTCTTGGG